AGTATATTTCAGAAAGAAATATATCTAAAATACAAATGTTGGTACCATGCGAGGAATGAACCCTGAAAATATCAGTGCGAAAGGGGATTGTTAGTAATATGGACTTATGATGTTATTGCTAGCAATGTACCATATCAGGTTGACCTCCACTCGGTTCCTCCTAGAAACCATCATGATAAATTCTTGGTGAATTTGTCAAGATGGGCTAACTGAGCTGACCTTATGCTCATAACCTACAACTTTATAAGCCCCATACATTATCTAGTGGAGATTTTACATAAATAGATAAAACTAAAGCAATATTTTTTAATAAAAATATTTACACTTAAACAAATCTTCACGTATTGCAGGTGCCCGGTGGCATTTAGACATTTAATAATTATCATATTTAATTTTATACTGAAGTCATTAACATATTCTTGATATCATATTTCAATACTAATTGAAGTTGATTTTACTTTTTGTTTAAAAAGTTGTCTGCATTTGCACCTCTATCTATTTCAGATGCACATAAATTTTTAATTAAAAATGCAAAGTTACAACTTATATTTAAAAGAGTAACATATTAATAAATGCATTCCAAAGGGGCAGTAGATTAATTAAAACATGACTATTTATATATACGTATAATTAGTAAAAATCACGGGATCTTACCACGTTTTATATTTATTTGCTGAATTCCCGGTATTTCGGTAGTGTTTCAACCACCATGATCACGGTTTACCCGTGATCATGGCGGTTGAATAACTAATTATACGTATAAATAATGACCGCGTCAAGTTTAAAACAGTATATGACTATTTATATGTGTTTTATCATTAAGTTTATATATATATATTTATATCATGCTTATTTATATTCTATCACAATGATAACAAATGGCGATTGCTATTTTATATAAACACCGATATGGGCTTGTTGAAAGTTAGATTAATCACGACTTTAATACTTGACAATGCTTCTGACTATCCCGTCTACTATAAGAGATTCTTCACTACGCTAGACTTTGTAAAAAGTATTTTGGTTCTTTGTCTACCTATTTCAGGTTATAAGCAGCTTGATTTGTCAGCTGTGTTTCGGTCCAAGGTGACAAAAGAAATTATAGGATAACAACCATGAAATCCTTACGTTAAATGAAATCGTAATGCTGCCCATGTCCATATATGAGTATGTATATACTTTACAGTCAGCGCTGTCTTGTACCCTTGCGCTAGCGCTGTCTTGAACTTTCCTTGAACAATCTAGTTACGGTAGATAAAAAAAACTGCTGTCTACATGGACATCGCTGTTACTTCAGTCAGCTCATGACCACGGCTAGTGCAACCTAGTCGAAACATTGAGAGAGGAAATACCTATATTTGTCATAAAATTATTGGTGCAAAGACTCTGTTAAGGATATAAATAATGTGTTATACGCGTCAGCTTGTTTTCTATTTTAATTATATAAAAATACTTCTGGAGTTATAATGCAATTTATTGTGACTTGTTTTTACTTTAGCAGGACTGTACCACACATTATGTCTAGACTGGAAGGGTGATAACCCTTTCGTGACCCGACTCATCTCACCACTTTTAGTCATCGATACACTATTAATAGCTACATAATATTGCCTCTTAAGGATCATTATAATCCTATTGTGTATTTTTACCCTATATTTATAGTTAACTAACCTAACTGCCAACGGAGATTCTTTAACGAATTCGTGCTATTTGGTAATTTGTATTTACATATTTGACTTAGAATGTAAAGTTCTACATTTGCTTAATAGAGCAATGTGCAAATTTCTTGCCCATTCTTCTTGACTGAAATTGCATTCAGAATGAATAAAAAAGCGACTATTCGAAAGTGCTTAAATTTAAGTATTTTTAAGAAGGATATATTATATTCTATTCTATTCTTATAATATAATAGTTTTAAATAATATTGAAAAAATATATAAACGTCTATAGATGCACTGATGTCGTATGTAACTCCCATTTTTATTAATATTCAGAAGTACAATTTTATACTCATACTAAGCTTACTTCAATACAAAAATGTTAGTTTATTAGGACTACGAGATTAGGACAACACTAATACTGAGAAAAAAATCTCAAATATAACCCTATGCCAAACCGCTTGGCCGGCGTGGTATTAATAGGCTATTATTCTCGTTTTACGTGGAATGAGCAGCGCCCTGCAGTGGGACGTTAATGGGTTGTTACGATTACATAAACATGGAAATTTGTTTATTTTAGCTAACTGTATAAAAAGTTGATGAAACGAAATCGTTTTCTAGAAGTTATTTGAGATTGTATCGTGGGGCTATAATGTGAAAACTTAAATTACATTGTAATCTCATTTTAAATATCATCAATCTAAACAACATAATATCTAATCATAAAAATTGGACAATGTCCGTATTAAAAAAATAATTTGCACCTACACTCATTACTATGAATAATGACGATGTAAATAATGCAATGCTGCGTCTCTGGCATTGGTTTTGGTTAAGATAATTTTATTTTTATTTTTTTTTATATAACATAGAGCTGATACGCCGAGACCATTTTATGAAAAAGAACTTCCAATATCTAAGTCGTTAATCATCATCGTCTACAGACATCAAAGAGATCCTGTCCTGTCCTGATTACTAAACATTTTTTTTTATGGATCATAATTGAAAGATTGCACTTGCCTTCGCTGACGGTGTACGGTGGCGGGACACCGGTGGAGGATGATAAGATGAGCATGAGGAGAGATCAGTTAGCCCATCGAGACAAATTCACCAGGAATTTATCACGATGGTTTCCAAGGGGAACCACGTGGATGTAAATCTGACATAGTACATTGCTAGTGATGGGATCATGGGTACACATTACTGACAATCCCCTTCCCCCATTACCAAAGTATTATGCATGAATACCCTGCAACTTAACAAGCGTATGTCACTATTGAAACCAAAACACAGTTTACAGAGCAAGCTGATTGTATGGGACACAACATTAAATAAACAATTCTTATGAATACAAATTTTTGTACTATGCGAGAAATCGAACCCGCGTCCATCAGAAATAAAGCATGATAAGCGCTAGGCTACCGAGGCCTTTATGTATAGCCGTATACCCTCATGTATATGGCCGTAGATTGACCTATCAATGAAATCAAAAACTTGCATGTTAAATAAATGTAGGCTTTACTACTTTGCAAGCCTGGTAGTTAGTGCAAACGATTATTTAGGAAACTAGCGTGCATGGTGTTATACGATACAGGTACTCATTATGTCTGTACTAACGATCCATCCGGTCCGCATCGCACGATAGCAATTATTGTAGACATTTCGAAATTTTCTTTTATAAACTACTAGAGACCTGTCCTGCGTTACAAAATGCTTTACAAATCTTTGAATTTTTCAGTTTATTCTATACTATAACAACCATGCCATCCTGTTGCCTTCCTCTTGAATCTATTGCACAAAACTGCATTAAAATACGTCACATAATTTAAAAGATATAAGCGAAGAAGAACGATAGAAGCCACGTCGACATAGTTTTATACTATGTAAAGATACACCCTTTGTTACTGACTAATATAAAATAATGTAGCTTTTGATGAAAGATATTTTAAAATCTGATAAGATTTTTTAAGCTGTATTTTAGATATAATAGTCAAATCTTTTCTCTTTATAGTGCACTCGTAAATTTAGAATGAAATGCCTAAATTTTACTTAATTGTCCTACAGATGAATTTTAGTTTTACAATATGATGAATAGTTTATATTCTGAATAATTCACACAGCGCCATTTTGGGACTAAGCGTGTATTAACTGTAGGCAAGTGATATAAATTTTAACTCATTAAGTGATATAATATTAATCCGTCTTCAAATAGATGAATGTAGCGTTGTGACTGATTTTTTCTATTATAATACAAAAAAATTACTATCGTATTGGCACTTTATCATCTGTATAGGTTAACTAAAATGTATATTTTTTTAATGTTAAGAGCGTTATATACTGAATTTTAGTAATATTTCAGTAATTATAAATGACTGGCGTATGTTACGGCGTTACCCCCATGAATTCATTTGAAAATTGTTCATACTATTTGACACATTACACACATATACATATATCACGTACGCGTTGCCGACAATGTTTGTTTGTAAAGGAGAAACATAGAAAATATTATACCAATTTAATATATAACTTTAACATATAGAACCAATATTATTAGCGCAGTATACATGTAGTTTAAGCTATAGGTCTATCGGTGTAGTTTTCGTTCGAACCCGTCCATTCTCACAAACCCGAGTATTTCTATCGTTAGCACGACTTAAAAAGTTGTCTGATAGCGAAACACAATGTAATGTTGCGTATGAAACCACTATAAAAATAACACCCAGTTTATATTTTGCAATTGCAATTTCGTCATACTATTTTGGGCATCAAAATTTACATTTTCACTGTTATTTTAATAACAATTTTCTTATATGACCACTGTTCTCCAGTTACTAGATGTTCATTTTGTCAACTATTCACATATACTAAATTTGTTTTGAAATACAGATAACACAACACAGATGTTAGATTTTAGGAGTGAAAGCACTTAAACTATAATTACAGTACATCTACAATCAGTTTGTATTTTTCCTTACATTCTCATAGTTGCGGAGAAATAGTTTCCAAACAAAAGTTTTATCCACATTGCATATGTTTATTTTTGTTGTGAGTACAAGAAAAAGATTCTAGACAATTTAAAAATAAACTTTTTTTTAGGGAAGTTTTAGAAATGGATTATAAGTATTATTAACAATCAACTAAAATATTGTGTTTTCAATATTGAAATAAGTAAATACTTACACAAGTCTTTGAATTGTTTTCGTATAACAGAGAAGTAATGCTAATAATTCTTTCACACACTGTTTTAAATAGTTACCTGTCCTGTTATATTTGTAAATATTGTCTTTTTTTATTGTTAATAAAACATCGTAAATTGATATTATTGAAATTTACAATTACCTTGATCGGGCCTGGAGTGGTGTCAGTCGATGCTCGCGCTGCCGAATCTAAAATTATAGTTTCGAGTTCGCGCGTACTACATTCTATTTTTAAAAATATGCTATAGTGAACAGTGCCATCTGTTGGTAATCTAAAAGAGTTAATAGTAAATATCGATCTTCCGATACGACTCGAGCAGATTGTATTTTATATTAAATTTCGAGTATACCACATATATCGAGTATAATATATACATATTATCTTGCATTTAGTTGCTAAGTAATTTTTTTTTGTTACAATTATTTAATATATTTTGAAATATTTTCTGTTACATAATTTATAATGCTAAATATAAAAAAAAGATAACGCCTTTTAAAAATACACAAGCAATCATTTTCTTTAACTACTTTTATTCTTTGCATCTTGTCAGGCATTCGATGACCACTAGAGCATGCATACATCTGACATGGGTTTACTTCTACATATTTCAATTCAATATACCAATTACTTATTGATAGATCCTCGTAAATAGCTACTACAAGGGATTTGTTTATTTCACAAATACAATTTCTTTTTGTTGGTACGTGCTACTTCCAATATTGATTTTTTTTAAAATAACTATCATATATAAATAATGTAATAGTTATTCACTATACGTGTCGTAGCAATGACTATTATTATTATATTTTTTTTAGAATTATGATATCCTAATAGAATTGTTACGGACTTTAAACTATACACAGAATATTTTGAATAATGGAATCGTACTAAGCCTCGTTACGGTATTTGCTATAAACCAACAATAAATTGGAAACTGAAACCAGAATTAATTAAATTCTGGTTGAACAATAATATGATAATGTTTGGCCAAATTAGGAACTAATTTGTTACCAGCTGTTATTGTATGCAATCGTATTTAATAGTTGTAAATATTCAGAATAGATATAATTCATATCTATTCTAATTCAATAAATTACATTTAAATTGGTAGGTAACTAAAAATAAATTATAGTAAAACATACCTTAAAATCTACCATATTGAATTTCCAGTAACGTGAATTTATATTTTGTTTTCTTTGCAGATAATCTGAACAAAGATTGAAAATAAAGACAAAAGCTTGTAATAATAATGGAGTAGGTACACACTGCAGTCTAGGACGTGTTCATTTTCTTCAAGAAATACTGTTAGGTAGTTTGTCCATAAAACTATTCTTGAACATGAAACTTTAATGCATTTTATATTAAAATTGACAGTATTGTGGTACATTTCTGAATCCTTTGACGATACGTGCATGTTACTGATATTACTATAAGTGACAAAGTTTTATACTATGGTGTTTGCTTTGTCAGAAGGGGAATTTAAAGATATTCGGTTTGTCCAGGAATATCTTAAGTCATATGTTACTTATAGACTAATGACTAACTTTTTATTCATTCCTAGAGTCACGAGCAGTATTTACATAATGTACATATAACTAACTAGTGGAAAATTTTAACATATAAATATTTAATTGTTCATATGTTTGTAATGGATAAATTAAGAAAAAGCTACTTCGATTTTAAAAATAATATCGTCTTTACATAGAGACATTATCACTAAGTGATGTAAGCTTTTTCAACTTTTGTCGACTCAACGCGGGCAATGAAGAGGAATGCAACTAGTATTTAACAAAAGGTATGATAACAAACATGTCTTATTAAGATAGCTTGCACTAAATTCAAAGATATGTGTAAAGATATATCTACATACTAACAAAGTCAAAGCAACACCAAATTTAAAAAAATATTTGCATCGAATTGCAAATTTTATAGATTTGGTGCAACACATTCTTCTATATCTTATTAATGATTTATTAAACTCTTAATTGCTTTCAAATACAGTAGAGCATTCACCTCATGACCCTCATTAAACCTATAGATTAAAACCGAAAGGGGCGCTTGTAATTAACTTAAATTTTTATTTATTTAAATTGCAATAAACTAAAGACTTTAATAAATTAGGCACCCTTTCAGGATGTAGGTAAATAAGTTATTTGCAAAAGGCAAGTTTGTTGGTAGACGGAGATTTCAATATAATTACATTTAAATAAAAACTCGGAATAACTTTCCGTGGATAAATTATTTTTTTAAATTAAGTCGCGAGTTTTTCAGTCACGAGTTTTTTAGAGTTATTCTCCTTTCAATAGTGGATAGCGCATTTAACGCTGTATAAAAAGTATCCGCGTAATCCCGTACTAAAGCAGGGTTTAATGAAAACCAGATTGGATTTCATTTCAGTTAGTGTTATATGAAAATTCATTAAAATAAGTAACTCTATGCGAACACAGATGTTAGGCTGTTTGATAATTTACCAGAAATAAATTACAATTCGGGGCGTCGAGATTTGTTATTTTCAATTAATATTGTCGGTTTTTGGTTATGCCTAAAATTAGCAGTGGACAGAACAAATTTAATGATTTTATTATAATAAATGGGTCATTGGGCTCACTAAAATATGGTCGAGCGCTGTGATGGCTGGCTCATCCGTCATACTCGTGTACGAGTGCTGCTTGTACGCACTGGTCTGCTCTTATCACTACGACTGATTTAATCTTATTGTGTATTTATATTTGACCCTAATAAATTAGTGCTGGTTGGTAGTTTGTATTCAGACATTTACGACTTGTAAATGTGAACTTACAAGGATTATTTAAAAGAGCAACACGCAAGTTTCTTGCTCGTCCTTCTTGTGACGAGACAGCTTTCCGAATGAGCGGTAGATAAAAAAAATGTTATGACTATTCAAAAGTGCTTAAATTGAGTTTATTTGAATGAAATGATTTTCTATTCTATTCTAATGATATTCTTACATGACTGTTATTTCAAATGGGATATTCAAATGCATTGTCAACTGTCGACGGCGGCATGGGGAATGTAACATTGACATGACCACATATCGGTGCGTATTTTGAATACAACGTTAGAGGGTGAACCAAAATTAATCCCAGCCTTCTCGGGGAATAATTTTAGTTTATTATTAATACAACAACAATTTAGATAGAAACATAAATTGACATATATATTTATTGGTATCAGTAAAATTTGCTCTTACACCTTTTTCGATTAAACTGCAGGTCGACTAACTAACTGTTCAATAACAGAAATTAGAAATGATGAGAAAGAACATCGATTTACGGCATGCCTTATCTGATTTCATTTGTTTTTTACATCTTACTGTGTATTTTTTTTTGCAACGTCTCTATTTTCGGATCTATTTTTTGTAGTTAATGTTATCAGAGGCTGGACATCGATATATCGATATCATCGAAGCCTTGACACCGTTTTTTTAAGACTAAATATATATATATTTATAAAAAATCTATGAATATCAATCATCGCTAACATAAATTTGGTTTAGTAATAGCCGATAAGATCAGATATGATGGCTGATAGAAGAGTGGAAGACATAAAAGTACTGTAAAAGGAAGACATAACAATGAGAAGGCTGGGCAATAAATCTACTTCACTCAACAAATTTCGAGCATTTCTCCACTCCCAAAAGGCCATATTTTGGGATGGCACGTTGGTATAGTATTTTATATTAGAAATTAAAGAATAAGACACCAATCCATAACTCTTCTTCGATTTGTTTAGCTATTAAAGTCAGTTTTATGTCATAAACAAAATGCATTTTCTTTATGAAATGGCTCTCAGAATCTGATTTCAACTTAAACTTTTCTTATGATCACCAAATCCTTCGTATTTCCCTTCAAAAGGATTTAGATTCGTGACAGATTGCAAACTAATTTGCGAATTGGGTCGCCTAGCGCTTAAAACTGAGCGCATCTTTATTTACAGAGATGCATTTAGTTCAGATTTCATCTCCATCGTGACATGAATTAATTTACGATGTTATAATTGCAATAAGTTTAAAAAGAAGAGAGCTTATCTACCTCATTAATTGTACGAGACATTAAAACTCTTCTGTATTTATTATGAATTTAGAATGCGCTACGCATTCAATTGTTTTATGAATAAAAAATATTATTTTGAAATACCATCAAAGCATTTTTATTTGTCTCCACAATTCAACAATGATTTATACAATTTATTCTTAACTGAAATAGATCTATTTTAAAGAAGATCTCACTTGTAATTAAAGTTTTAATTGAATTTTGGCTTTTAAAGAGCGCTTTTGGGAGTACAGACAGACTTCTAACGTAGGATATAGATTCAGAATTTCTTTCTAATTTATTTGGTACGTAAACAATTCGAGAATGAGAGTGGAATAAAATAGAAATTGTTGACGCGCTATGCAGCTTACCTAATTGATAAGGTATGTTTTGGTTTGAGGGGTGATATACAGTAGTGAATTTAAATGTATGATACTTAAAATTCGATGAATGGCAACGGATGGGAGGTCCAATAACCAAATCAATCTAATATCATATATATAAAATTCTCGTATCACAGTTTTCGTTCGCATACTCCTCCGAAACGGCTTGACCGATTCTCATGAAATTTTGTGAGCGTATTGAGTAGGTCTGAGAATCGGCCAACATCTATTTTTCATCCCCCTATATGTTAGAGGTAGTCCACCTCTAAATTTTTTAGACAAAATTTTTAGTTTCTATTTTTTTATGATACGACATACAAAAATACATAATATCCTAAATTTTCACCCTTCTATCATCAACCCCTAATTTTTTATAGCGTTATTAATTTATACGGCAAAACAACGTTTGCCGGGACAGCTAGTAATATATAAAATTCTCGTGTCACAATGTTAGTTACTATACTTTCCGAAACTGCTTGATAGGTTTTTATGTAATTTTATATGCATATTCAGTAGGTCTGAAAATCGGCTACTATATTTACTATCTATTTTTTATACCCCCAGGTAATAAGGGTTGTCCAACCCTAAAATTTTACTTTTAGATTTTGACAAAACTTTATATCTTTATAATGTGGCATTAAAATTTACAATCACTAAATTTCACCCTTCTAGCATCAACCACTTTTTAAGCAATTTTAATTTATATGGCAATACAGTGTTTCCGGGGTTAGTATACTTGTATAATTTGAAG